CCCGGCGCCAGGTCATGCCGCCCGTCGTCGCGTTGCCCGCCGTCTTCTCCACGGCGATGCGGCACCCCTGGTACTTGGTCGTGAAATACGCGGCGACGGCGGCGGGGCCCTTGAACGTCGACGACGCCATGTCCTCGTAGAGCACGTCGTCGGCGCAGGCCGCGGCGATCTCCGCCGGGTCCACTCCTTCTGCTTTGCCGAGCAACGCCTTCAGCTTCTCGCCGGCGGTCTGCGACGCCGCGGCGCTGGCGCGCGCGCCGCCGACCTGCTTCGCGACGTTTTGCAGCATCTCGCCGAAGTTGAGCGTCTCCACGCGCACGCGCGTGAGCGCCGGCGTCGCCGCGCGCGGCGCGATGAGCGCCGTGGCGCTTAGGCTGCAGAGCGCGAGGATGGCATGCTGGATCGGCATCGTGCTGCGCGTGCCACCGACGGCCGTAGGTGGTGGAACTCCGCGGAGCTCCCGCTCCACATCCGGCGAGGCGACCATCTCCAGCGGCAGCACCAGCACGCACGGCCACGATGTCCGTCTGGAGGCAACGATTGGAGACCGTGAAGGAGCAGACGGCGAAGTTCGCTTCCATCGCTTGGCGTAGAGGAGGCCGCGTGGCCTGGGTTGCGCGCCGCGGCGCCGAATTTGCCGCAAGCCCTTCTTGCTTGCTCGACGCGCGCGCCCGCAGGTCGCCGCGACGTCGATCGTGATGCTTCTGCCGCTGCTCATGGAGATCGAACGCGCGGCGCCAGCGCAATTCGTCCACTCCCGCGCGGCGCGGCGGTCGACACGCGCGACGCTCGCAGGCGAGGGCCAGGTCATCGAGACGGACAAGCTCCGCATCAAGGACCTCAAGGCGCAGGGCTACAGCGACCAGCAGATCACGAACCTGGGTCTCACGACCCAGGTCGAGCCGTCCGTGGGCCTCAACGCGCCGACGTCGTCGAAGCCGCTCGCGCTCCAGTGATCGCGTCGCCCGGATACCCATAAAACAGATTACTATAGACACGGAGGCCGGGCGGCGGCGCGTGGACGCGGCGCCGGCGGGCGTCCGGATGCTCGCCGCGCGGCTCAATCGAGGCGCGTGGCGTTGATGAAGAGCGGGATCGGCGACTTCTCCGGCCGGGGCGACTCGGCCGCCTCCTGCTTCGACGGCAGGAGCTTCGCCAGGGCGTCGTCGGGCGCCGCGGCGACGGCGAGGCTCAGCGTGAAGGCCGCGATGCCGAGCTGGGACGACGGCGAGAACGACTCGCGGAGGAGGAGGAACGCGAGGAGCGACGCCCACATGGGCGTCTGCGCGTAGAAGATCTGGGACACGGCCGGCGGCACGGCGGCGTGCGCCTTGGGCTGGATCGTCGTCGACGCCAGGT